TCATTTTCAATATCTTTTTTTCAATCCTACTAAGTTTTTTTTCATTCATGGGTGGTTATTTTATGACTACACTTTAACATCTTTATGATATTCTAAAATATGGGAAATACCATTTTTAATATCCTTCCCTCAATTCCACCAAGTTTTTTTTTATCCACGACAGTGCTTGTTAACAATATCACTAGATTAGAGCTCTAGAGGCCCAATCATTAAGTTCCATTTACCTTTAAGACTTCTTCACCACGTGATTATACTCTTGGTCATTGAGCAAAAAGATTACTCCTCTTGTTTTCCATATATATATTAGCCTTAAAATTTAAACCCTAAATCAAGTCACCCCATTTATCTATCCATATTCACTCTAACTTTGAACTTTTTAATAGTTATATCATCACTCACCACATGGGTGTAACAATTTTAGGTTATATTAGCCATTTACATGGAAATATAGAAAAGAAAGAAAGGTATTTTAGATTAAAAAATTATAGTTAATTTACTATAAAAAGTGTTTAACAATTATTATAAAAGGATTTTATATGTTTTGTTTTAGTTAAATAAAGTAATATTTGTGATGTTTAATTGACTATTTCACAAAATAAAGCTGAAACATATATAATCAAAACAAGTGTGTGAAAATGACTTTAAAATTATCATTTTGCAAACAATATAATATGCTTTTCATGTTTTTTAGTAAGAAAAATTTATTTCTTTCTGTGTTTATAATTATAAACTTTTCACCTAAATACCAAGGGTGAGTTCAATAGCTTATGTTTAAAAATATACAAAAATAGAGTTAAGTCATAAATATTCACATTATAGTTATTACAAAAAAACTATCCATTTATTTAAGAATATGTAACTATATTGAAATAAGCGATGTTCCCACAACCCAAACAATCCTTTGAATAATGTCTGCATTTGGGTGATGACTCAGGGTTGTTATTGTTTCCTTTTATTATTTGTTATTGTTTGTAATTGTTTGTAAAGAGTAATGAAAATCAATTGATTAGCAAAACTGGAAAGAAAAAGTTTAATTACTTATAAAGTTTATTGTAAACTATAATAAAAGATAAAATAGTCTCACCAATTTTTTTTCTAATATATAATCATTGAAAAAATAATTACTTTATCTTATGCTCATAATACCAAACTTTATTTCAGCATTAAGAAAACTATAGTTTTAGGAATACATTCAACTGAGTTTTAAAATTCTTTCAATAAATAATACTTAATAATAATAACACACAAATAAATACATGTTACATACAACAGCATCCTTGGCAATACTGTTCTGGACACCAAGCTCATCCCAAATATCATCATCAAAGACTCCCATAGTGGGGACAAGCTTGCCTAGTGGAAAATAGCCTCATATTGGCAACTGTGGATGCCAATACCACTACACACTTTCTGATCCCCATTGCATCCACAGCATTCAGTTTATCCTCTTTGCGGATCCACGGGCAGGTCGACCGATAGGCGCTGTTCTCACAATCTAAGTGTTAGCCATGCTCTTTCACTGTCACTCACCTCCAACCATGTAAATTATTCGTTGCGTTTAGGGCAAATTCAAATGTGTTCTTGGCTCTCGAGCGGCGCGCTACTTAATGGCGGAGCTTGCAATCGCTTATTCCCCGGACCCTCTCGTTCATAAACAATTTCTCCTGGCGTGCTGCATGCTTGACGATTGGAACGAATCTTAATG